GAATAGGATCTGCGTGTGGCAAGCTACGGGACAGAAACCGTTGGAATGTTTACTGCCACGTGCCGCTACAAATCTTTCTTTTAAGGAGAGCTATAGGATTACTCAATGCCTTTGTTAGATGGAGAGTTCGTCCCGTTGACCGCGGCCACGTTCGGCGACTAATTGTCGCCTTGAGCCCAAGCTCACTGTCACAAGTCTCGAACAAATACAATTGGTTAGAATGACGGCAAATCGTTTAATTACAACTGTAGATTTTAATTACAATGTTTTTATGGATTTTCCCGAGGTTTCAGAGGGAAGGCACCGGTGTCCTCTTATCTCCGACATATATATAGTATAAAAATCCTGTACGCAGCTTATAAATTCGAATTAGCTCCGAGACGTGAAATCTCCTAGAGATCAGTGAGAATCAGAAAGAATTAACGACGACCGTGTATAAGAATTTATAAGAATGTATAAGAAACGTAAACGCAAGCTTCTATGTACGTTTTAAGAACCTTTGAAGCAAGCAAAGATTTGTTACAAGAATTATTGCGATATTGAGCTCTCTGCGAATTATCTTCTTACACAGAATAAGAGATAGAGATTTAAAATTTACTAGCATTCCCGAGTTTTCAGCCTTCAGCTTAGTATTCAAGAAAGTATCTGTTCCTTGAGAGTTTGCGGATCGAGCTTTCTGGCTACCAGGAAAATCGGCCCAAATGTTTGCTTGGACGTTTGACAGCTGCCAACATAAATAAAGGACCAGAAGTGCGTCTTTTTAATTTATTTTCCCTGAAAGCTAGAAATTCAGAAACTTTTCCAGAAATCAAAAGAGTTCTCTAGATAAATGTTCTTCGCGATATAGTAAAAATTCTTTTACCATCGACATTCTCGTTATCCAGGATCCACCATAAGCTTCGATGAAGCTTTTCCAATGCTTATTCAGATTCTCAATTTGTACTTTTATAGCATCTTAACACTTAGCCAACTACGTGCGCCACAGCAAGTTGTACATTTCCAACGCACTGGGGCAAGCTAACCTATACGCTTTCCACCGCGCATTTTTCCAAGTATCGACGACTAATATTTACTACATAAAAACCAAACAAGTCCAAAAATTATTTAAGTGGTTAATTATGTTTTGCAATAATGATTTCATTTAATGATTTCACATGTTGTTTATACAAAATATCAAATTAAAAGTATAAAAAAATATAGATAAAATTAAAAACATTAAAGATGACTAAAGATAAATAACGCGACTTGAGTGTGAAATTAAAAATTCATAATGCATTTTAATATTTTTTTACAGTGTGGTATCGTCCAATTATAACTTTATTTAGTCATAACTGATAATGTAAATTTTTAATTAATTTTAACATTGCTAGATTGGTATACTTTATTATATACTGTACTTTATAAACGCAAAAAGAGTGGTGCAATTAATTGGGAACAATTTCAGCTAAACGATAATTGATAATAACAACAACAACAAAAAGAAAACGCATTGCTAAAGTCAAAAAGGGAAATTTCCTCATTCGGTCACGCACCGATGTTCTTCACAAAGGGGTGATCTCCCTCTCAGTTGGTCTTAGTGTCAAATCATTTCAACTAATTTTTCCTTTTTAAAATGTCTTCGGACTTCCACACATAAAAGAAAGAAAGAGGATGATCTCCCTTTTTTGAGAGAAAAGAGCAGATGTGCGTTAGGGGCGACCAGAGATTTGGACGAGGGAAAATCCTTTCAAACAAAAAGGGAGGATGGTAAGTTGCAGCACAATAAGAAGAGACTCAGAAGTTCGGGCGATTGTGACACCAATCACATCTCAACCTACATCAGTGATAAGACATCGACCGCCGACCTTCGCACACTTTTGAACACATCACCACCTTATCATCGTAGCATACATCAAGGTTGTGACGCACCTTAGTCCACATCAGAAATAGGATATCGGCCCCAGACCTTCGGACACTTTTCCACATCATAACCTACACCTTTCTCAACGCGAGAATTGATTGTAATTTTAACAAATAAATAAAAAAAAAAAATAACCTACACCTAGCCCCTCAACATCCTAAAACCAAAATGTATATAAACCGAGACTTCACCCAGCTCGGGCAGTTCTTGTTCTTCTTCTAGTTGCTGTACTCTTACAACCCCTTTTCCCTGGTTCGGTATTATTTTGTAAGTGTCAACATTTATAATAAAGTTTTATAAAGGAAAATTAGTAGTTGGGTTACGACTCAGCCTTCTTACTACAATCCAAGTACCAACTTTACGTGACACGATCCGGGCCAAAATTACTTCATAATCCGCTACT